TATTAAATTTAATAAGCCTTTATGACAGTCCGAATTGTGTGGCTTTAAATTCAATAGCCCTTTATGTCGGCCCCATTGGGTGGCATTAAATTCAATAGCCCTTTATGGTGACCCCCATTGGGTGGCATTAAATTCAATAGCCCTTTATGGTGACTCACATTGGGTGGCATTAAATTCAATAGCCCTTTATGGTAACCCACATTGGGTGGCATTAAATTCAATAGCCCAGCCCACATTGGGTGGCATTAAATTCAATAGCCCAGCCCACATTGGGTGGCATTAAATTCAATAGCCCAGTCCACATTGGGTGGCATTAAATTCAATAGCCCAGTCCACATTGAGTGGCATTAAATTCAATTCAAGGCGTATGTCAACAACCATTGTGTGGCATCAATTTCATGATGCGTTCATTTCTTGTTTATTGTAATTTAAGGCTTTTGTTGATGTTATATTAACCATTTTGCCAGAAGTTTGGGCCTAGTGAATATTAGATAATAGTTTATATAGAGAGAATTAAGAAATATATATTCATTGTAAATTAATGAAAATCTCACAAAATGACAGATGTTATATTTATATTTGATATGCTCACTTTTTTCTATGAATTAACACAAAAACAACAATCTTTTCTTGTCATGTTAAAAATATTAAAATCTCGTCTAGTGATTTTAACATGACAAACATCAATGAGATTTTTGTATGAATAAAATGTTATTTAACAACTAATAATACAGTCTAATTAATTGAACTGGTCTTGCATAGATGTTTGTTTTGTATGAATCTTTGATTGTCTTATTAAATAATTATACCATCTAGAAAATTTACATTGTCTGGCACCAATGATCATAATATTTTGTCTTGTCATTGTTAAATATCTATTATAAAACGGCCCTCATGCTATCGTTTCTTTGACTAGGTAATGTTTGGGTTTTCCCCCTTCTATTTCAAGTAAATCCAAACTTAAATTCTCTAATGTAAATATTTTATTTCCACCTGTAAAAGTAACATGAGAAACACATAGACTGTTTCAATTATTTTTGCTTCAACTGAGCTAATCATAGCTTACATTATTTTAATAAAAAAGTCTTGATTATCCATTTTGTCGTTAAATCATCCATCACAAAATGTATTCAAATCCAGTAAATATCGAGAGTTGATTATGGTCTAATTAATAATTTAGATAACATTTCAGGCCTAAAGAAAGACCTTCAATAGGCAGATTTAGTTCTTGCACATTGTATGTTTAATATGATTATAAATTTTTTTCGCAAATTCCTCAAATCTTCTACAAACATTTTTGGTGAACTTGAAATTTTATTAGAGAATTTAGAAGAATCGAGAGGAAGTTGGGTTTTATCAGAAACATGACAAGACACAATATGGAATGAAATTTGTATTAACTGTGAATTTGTGTGTTTAACAATATACTAACAATATGATTCTGTGGTTTTACAATATGTTCAACAGAGTTATCTGATCTTATTTTATTCTTTTGGTTTAAGAGAGATGTCTTAAAGGACAATATTGGTGTCAGTCATTATTACATATGTGATAGAACTGGTTAAATACATTCCAAATATAATTTTAACATAGAGATCATTGCTACGGGAGACGTGTAATAAGTACCTGAAGAAACGGGAAGTGACGCCAAACATGACAAACACGAGTTGTCCTTCTATATAACAGACTGAAGTAACGAGCGGTAAGAGACGAAGTTATTATATGGGACGGTGAGAGGGTATCTCACAATTCAAAAATAGAATTGGCTGTCACTAGATAAGGGACACGAGAAAAAGTAGAAAAATCCTGTGCATTCCCCCGTTTTTATTCATTCTGTTCTTAATAAAAACATGGTAATGCACAGACTTTTTCTAATTTGTTCATTATCTTTTATCTACTGACACCCAATTCTTTTTTTGAATTGTCAGATATCCTCTCATCGTCTCATATAACAACTTTTCATCTTCAACGGAATTATCAGTGAATTGAAATTCGATCGTTTGTCTGTTACCACTCGTTATATAGAAGGACAACTCATGTTTGTAATGTTTGACGTCACTTCCCGTTTCTTCACGTGCTTGTTACACAACTCCTGCAGCAATGATCTCTGTGTTAAAATTATATTTGGGATGTATTTAACGAGCTCTATCACATATTTTATAATGACTGACACCAATATTGTCCTTTAATTCATCAAGTCAATAGAGCAAACCATTTACACATGGAATGGAATAAACTATGGTTCAATGTCTCAACACTATATCGGGTATCATTTAATCTTGTGTATTTAGCATTAATTTCTTTAACATTCATTCAATATTAAATCTTTGAAAATTGTTAAAACCACCCAAATTCATCTATTAGTAATTTGAACTTGTGTCCAGTTAAAGCTGACCATTCAATTTTGATAATGAGCGTCCAATTTACATGCATTTAATTTTTCGATCACTGTTCAAAAATAACCAACTCGTTGATGTATAATGATTAATTTTTCAACAGTGATCAGGGAATTAAATGCTTGTAGATTGGACACTCATTAGCAAAATTAATTGGTCAGCCTTAAACTGGACACAAGTACAAATTAGATGATTTTAAATGATTTTTACAAATTTTTAAACTAGTGTTTCATATTAAATGAATGTGAAAGAAATTAATGTAAATACGCAAGATAAAATAATACCCGGGTTACAGTGTATAGTGCGCTCATTTCTATTGTTAGGTGTGTATATTGTCATGTCAAGTTTACGATGAGACATCCCCTTATCTAATATACTCATGTTTCTATAGTAACATATGCACATCATTATACTCATGCTTCCTGTTTCTAATACAGTTTTATAAATAGTAGTATTCACTTACATTCTTTTCATATTCCACAAATTTGGCTATTAGGCATCATGATTTGGTTTTGATTAAATGTTTTATATGATTTGCCAAAGCTCAATTATGAAAATGGATTGGTATGAAGCAGAATACATTGTAACCCTTGAGAGAATCTTTCATAGGCATTTTGGCAAGGTTGGAAATTCCCACACAGAAATCCTGATTTACGAATCTCCACAACTGGCCGTATCTCCAACATTGTAGTCATGGTACCTGTCCATACTAAACTTGGGCTGCCTGTCTACAGTTTGCTCCGCCTGAGAACACACACAAGCTAGTTGACAAACACTTTAAGTCCTAAATCGTCGATGTTAGTCGAAAACACTGAGACTTCGAGAATTTTGTTAATTATTAATCATTATGCTTCCATTGAAAAAGTTTATTTAGGTAGTCTTTGTATGTCTGTCTGTTGTGAAACTAAGTAGAACTGCATTACAAAACAGTATACTATTAATTTTTGGATATGGTGGCCATTTAGGGCAGAGATCTATTCTTGAAGTATGAAGTTGATGGATCTCTGTGTGTAGGATGGGTACCTGTCATCATGTAAGAAAGATAACTCTGTTTTACATAAAGTGCTGATTATATTTACTGTGTGGTGTAATTTGGTTTGTTATTACTCATTGTTAATGAACAAAACTACTTTAATTCAAATTATAATAAAATATATCATGTGTCTTTTAATACCTCTTCTATTTTTGTGGTGACCTGCTCTTGAAGATATTTTTGTGGAAATACACATGTAACATAAAAAAATGAACAATAGATGTACAAGTGTCAGTGAAGGTACTTTGAAAAGTTCATGTCTCTCCATATCTCAACTTTGTATATTTTTAAATTTCATATATCTCTTATACAAGAAATTTCATCTTTTCTATTGTACACTTGAAATTTCATATCTCGACCAGGTATACTTAGAAATTTCATATCTCGACCAAGTACACTAAGATATTTCATACCTCTATCTGTGGCTAGACCTTATGTTAATTTTATCCATCATATTGTCTGTTGTTAATTGACAAAGCTCTTGCAAGTGCAAGTCACCACAAAAGACAAATGTGAAGGTCCTGTGATCTGTTATAAAATATAATGTACAGTCTCTTTAATCTGATATAATTCTATGGTGTACATGTCAGAACAATTTATATAATATATATAACCTATAAATTACTTTAATATTATTATATAAAAAAAGCTAAATAATACCTAGTGTCTTTTGTCTTCAATGGTGTTAAATGTCATAAGGCCTGTCAGGCGGGAACCTGATGTAAATAAATGAGCCTAGTCATTTGGATAGAATAGAAAGCTGAGGTCCAATTGTGTTTACATTGACACTCTGGAATTTGATTAAAATTTAAGATATGTTAATCACGAAACGACCTATTTTCTCGAGAAGAACCAAAGTCTTTCCATTCCATCATAGCAACTTGCCTCTTACTTGAAGACACTGACCTACCACAACTACAGATAATGCCATTGTTACGCAAATATGAAATGGTCACTTAAAATGGACTAGAACCCATGTAATGTAAAAATCTACTAGTATGAGGGACAGATGTAAGTCTTTATACGACCCCCTCCCCTTCAAGGCTTCCCCAGGATTATATCCTGTTTTGGCGAAGAATGTTTCCCAGGATTTGATCCTGGTGTTGGCGGAAAATGTTTCCCAGGATTTGATCTTGGTGTTGACTGAGAATGTTCCCCAGGATTTGATCCTGTTGTTGGTGGAGAATATTTCCCAGGATTTGATCCTGGTGTTGACTGAGAATGTTCCCCAGGATTTGATCCTGTTGTTGGCGCAGAGAACCTTCCCCCGGATTTGATCCTTGTTTTGGCAGAGAATGTTCCCCAGTGTTGACTGAGAATGTTCCCCAGGATTTGATCCTGTTGTTGGCAGAGAACCTTCCCCAGGATTTGAATCTGGTGTTGGCTGAGAATGTTCCCCTGCTGTTGGTTGAGAACGTTCCCCACTATATTTCACGCTTACAAATATGAACAAGAAAAGATTCCTTAGACATTTGTGCATAATCCCTTTTCCAGATTTCCCTGCTTCTGCTGTCTATTTCCATTACTATACTGCAAGCAAATCACCTCACTTCACAACAAAATCAAACTACTTTATATAAAATCACATTTATTCAAAGGCACTTGAATATGGCCATCACAATTACAGGATTTTTTTCTTAATAAATACAGTACAGCAGTCAGTTTGATTTTAATACAATTCTCAAATATTCAACAAGTTCAATATACATTGCAATATCTCAACCAATAGTTCAATACACATTCCACAATCTCATCCAATAGTTCAATACACATCAGTATGGGTCTCTTAATACATGCAGCATCTACAAATGTAGATATAAGAATACACAGTGATCAATAAATATTGTTGTATATCACTATACATGATAATATCTCAATATACATTTAGATAACCCATTAGACATGATAACTACACATCATGACATTGAAATACACAGATAGATATCTCAATACACATGGCAATATTCATGTACCAATACACGCTTTTGTATATCTCAATACACATTCTTAACATATTGTGATGTTATCCAACCATATTTGGTTATCTCAACACATTCCAATATCTCAATTAATTTGATTGTATTGTTCACGCGGATATACAAACTAAAGTTTTAGCGTAATTTCCTAATTTTTGCTTTAGCTACAAATATTCAAACTAAGATATTTCAAAATTCAACTAAAATTTAAAAATCTTTCCTCTTTTCTACGTCTTAGAATCCCTTACAGCATTGTGGAATATTCCTGCATTGTTCGACAGCCATTTTCATAGATAAATGACGTGACCAATCAAAATAGGAATTTTCAACAACACGTTTTTTTTTACATTAATAAATTCACAATAACGTGACCTCTTATTTACAATTTTTACAATACAAATATATAGCTTGTTTCAATCTATGTACAAAAAACAATAATTATAATAATAATTAAATTCAATGCTGTTTTTCTCGTAAACTTGGGTTCGTAAACCTATGGGAAACGCCATTCCGAATAACTTTTAAGACAACTTCTACTACTCTTACCGTCTACTACAGATGATGCTTCAGGGTTACTCGGAATGATGAAATAAAGTTTAAACCCTGCATAATTACAAATCGCAATATATATATATACCTCACACACACAAGAAATATATACCAAACAAAAAAACTAGACACCACATACACCACATGGTCCTGAAGCATTCATGGAGAAATTTTACAATTTTTTTAATAATGATCCCTGGATTTACACAGCGGGTTTTTATATAGGTTAAGCCTGTTCCCCAATCGAATCTGAATAAAATATTGTTAATTAATTATTAATAAATAGATATTTTCTCTTCGACCCCTTAATGCAAACTTTTATTTCACTTATAGTGCGTGACAAGGAGTAGGGTCGCCTGTCCAAACTCGTGGGTTTTCTCCGGGTCCTCCGGTTTCCTCCCACTGCTAAAGACCCCTACGCGCAAGCGAATTATTGAAATAAAATTAAACCATATGTTAGTCCCAAAATGACCTAGTTTGTGTCGAGTGGACCTTAAACCCCATTTCTCTCTCCCTCTCTCACTTATAGTGAATCTCATTTAAATACAGATATAAATTAGATCCTACCAGTTTGAGTGGTAGATGATATCCCGGGTAATATGGGTGAATTTGGAATAAATGATATAAACTATTTATATTTAACTTTTTTGTTCTCAAGAATCAATATTTCACTTCCATACTTCTGTGCACACCTCACATGAAGCTCAAATAATATAAGCAAACCATGTGACTGGTTAATACCCGACAAAAGAGCAAAAAGACTGGAGGAAGCAAGAGTAAAATCGTAATTATTGTCAAGTGTAAAATAACTTATTGGAGTTAATTCCTAATATTGTCCAGGCATGCTTCATCACCTCAGGGCCAGGTAGTTAAAACAATTATTTACATGAAAAAGATCTTTGCGTAATATATTTATAACTGAAATCAGCAGAATTGAGACCCAAGAAACCAAATTAATTTACGGTAAATAGGATAAATTATTAGAATAAATAACAAAGTACACACACAGCACCATAATAGGTTAGCTACAAAAATTGCTGATCTATTGAAATCTGACAACAAAAACACTTGCTTTTGCGTAAATTTATTTCAATATGATTTTGAGAATGTGATTTTTATAAGTGAAAATATTAAATTATATGAATCTGAAATCAATTTATGATTTGTTTTATAAACAGAATGGTGTAATATAAAGGACCTGAATCTGTTTAATTTAGGTCAAAATAAAGTATTGAGTTTGTTGATGGGGTGTGTGATTTGGTATAGTGATGGGACAAGCTTGTTAGTCAGTTTATTCACTAATTTTGGGGGTTTTTTTTAAACTCTTTTCGTTTTCTCTGTTAACAGGGGAACACAAAATCGGTTAAATCTTATAGATGTAAAATTTTCAACGAAGACAGAGTGTCATTCCACAAAACAAATCAACTTATAAAATCCAATGAAATGGACGATTTAATTTTGGACCCTATTCCAAGAGGTCTGCCAATTTTTGTCCACCATCAATGAAAAACACAAGACACATGATGGACAAGAATTATTAGAAAGTAATGTGTGATGTTATGAATACCACTAAAAGATATTTAGTGAAATGTTGATTTATCTAATATGAGGATGAAATTTACCAGCGTTATAAATTGAGACAGGAATGATACGAAAAGATATATATATGTCAAGTCTTGATCTCCCAGGACTATTTCATGATAATAATGAATGTCCAGAAATAAATTATAAGGGGTGGGTTTGAAGTTCAGACTTGATTATCATACATAATAAAGAAATATGCCATCAAATTTAATTCTTCTCAAATCAATTTTAACATAAAAACCACTGAGTTAAATCAGTATATCAGAGTCCACGGCTTTCATTTCAAAATTTGACAGTTTTTCATCTAATTAGTTTACCTCACATTAGCCAGATATTTTGTTCAAAGAATATATTGACAAATTTTACTGTTATCCCAATTCTCTTATATATATATATATATATATTTAAGCAATTTTACAAATAAAAGCTATAAATTTAACTGTATTTTTCATATTTTAAGGTTAAAATATTTGAAATTCGAATTTCAAGAGCCCTGTCATAATGATATTACATTCTTAAAATTCAAATCTGAGATTAAAATTGTTTTCAAGAGATCTGAGTTTCTATTAAATAGGATCCTGAATTACCCAATGATGTGATAAATACAAACTATTGTAAAGAACAGAAAAGATACGATAAAAACAAACTACATCGGAACATCATCTTTGGTAGATATATTTTGGTGGTGGTAAGTTTTAGTTGTGTGTAAGTTTTGTCTAGTCTATTATCATTTTTAAAAATATTTTTACTCTTTATTTTAATTTCTTAAATACATTAATGTTCTGGTCAAATACCAAGCCACTTCTGGTTAAAATGAAATTCCATATGTCCCGATTTTTATGAATCAGTTACAAAACAATCACTGGTTTAATATATAAGCAAACATTTCAACAAGTATCCTCATTAAATATACATTATGCAGGAGCTAAATCTGTCTATTGCAGGTCTTTCTTTAGGTCTGAAATGTTATCTGAATTATTAATTAAACATAAATTAACATGGTTTTCCCTGGATTTGAATCTGATTTGCTGCTCAACGATCATTGATGATTTAATCTAACAAGAGCATTGCTAACGCTGCAATATACGTCCACATTCCAGCTTTGATTGATATGGTACTTTTTAAAATGAAGAGAATGAAAATGAAATGGCTGTAATATGATCAGAGGCAAAGAAGGCTAGGCGTCGGGTTTGTTTTGCCAAATTTACAGACAAAATACTAACAATAAAGTGGGTGTGACACTGCCCCAAGAGGTCGGGGCAAGTATCAAAATAAATTGTTGCTGTCTTTATGGTATAAGGAATAAATATGCAAAGTTCCAAGATGATCCATTCAGAATTGCAGTCTGTAGACGATAAATACAAAAACTGGGCGTGGCTCTGCCCATGGGGGTTGGATATGGAAACAATATAAACAGGTACCATTCTGTTATTGAAATGGCAACATCAATAGTTGCCGTCCTTAGGGTATAAGGAATAAGTACACCAAGTTCCAAAATAATCCTTTCAGAATTGTGGCCTTTGGGCGTTAAAGGCAAAAATTGGGCGTTGCTCTGCCCCTGGACGTTGCTCTGCCCCTGGGCGTTGGGGCATTCACCAAAATCAATAGTTGATGCCCTTAGGCTATAAGGAATACATATGCCAAATACCAAGTTGATCCATCCAGAATTCGGGCCTGTAAACGATAAACATAAAAATTGGGCGTGACTCTGCCCCTGGGGGTGTGACATGCAGTTGTCGTCCTTAGGCTATAAGGAAAACATATCCCAAGTTCAAAGACAATCCATTAGGAATCGTGGCCTGTATGCAACTCACAGAGACACAAAGAAAAAAATGGGTGTGGCTCTGCCCCTGGGGGTTGGGCAATCACCAAAAAAATAGAGGTCAGCCTTGGGGTATAACGTATAAGTATAAAAAAGTTTTCAAGATGATCGATTAAGCATTGCAGGCTGTAAGTGACATACAGACACACAAAAAGAAAATGGGTGTGGCTCTGTCCCTGGGGGCTGGGCATTCACCACAAACAATAGGGATGTTCCTTAGGATAGAAGGAGTAAGCATGCAAAGTTTCAAGGTGATACGTTACGAAATGCGGTCTGTAGATAACAAACAATGAATACAAGAAATGGGCGTGGCTCTGCCACTGGGGGTCGGGCATGCACCAAGAACAATAGGGATCATCCTTAGGGTATAAGGAATTCATATGAAATTTTTTCAAGACGATCGATTAAGAATTGTGGCCTGTAGGCGACACACAGACACACAGAGAGAAAATGGGCGTGGCTCTGGCCCTGGGGGTTCGGCATGCGCCCCAAACGATAGGGGTGTTCCTTAGGGTATAAAGAAAAAGTATGCAAAGTTTCAATATGATGCGTTAAGAAATGCGGCCTGTAGACGACAAACAAACAAATACAAGAAATGGGCGTGGCTCTGCCCCTGGGGATCGGGAATGCACAAAAAACAATAGGGATCATCCTTAGGGTATAAGGAACAAGTATGTAAAGATTCAAGGTGATGACTTAAAAATTGTGGCCTGTAGGCGACACACAGCCACACAAAAAGAAAACGGGCGTGGCTCTGTCCCTGGGGGTTGGGCATGCACCCCAAACGATAGGGATGTTCCTTAGGGTACAAAGAATAAGTATGCAAAGTTTCAATATGATACGTTAAGAAATGGGGCCTGTAGATGACAAACAAAGAAATACAAAAAATGGGCGTGGCTCTGCCCCTGGGGGTCGGGCATGCACCAAAAACAATAGGGATCTTCCTTGGGGTATAAGGAATAAGTATACCAAGTTTGAAGAAAATCCAGTAAGAATTGCGCCCTGTAGGCGACACAAAGACACACGAAAAGAAAATGGGCGTGGCTCTGCCCCTGGGGGTTGGGCATGCACCCCAAACGATAGGGATGTTCCTTAGGGTACAAAGAATGTGTATGCAAAGTTTCAAGATTATTAGTTAAGAAATGTGGCCTGTAGACGACAAACAAACAAATACTAGAAATGGGCGTGGCTCTGCCCCGGGGGGTCGGGCATGCACCAAAAACAATAGGGATCTTCCTTGGGGTATAAGGAATAAGTATACCAAGTTTGAAGAAAATCCATGAAGAATTGCGCCCTGTAGGCGAACCACAGACACACACACACACACACACACACACACACATACATACATACACACACACACACACACAGACAGGGGCGACGGCATAATACGTTCACATTATGAATGTGGACGTATAAAAATGGATAATCAAGACTATGTTTTTTATCATACCGACTTTAGTAATGATGATCGAGGCTAGGCCTAAAATTCAAACGCTGAAATTTTCAGCATATTCCCTTTACATTATCTAGCTTTTAACTATTATAGTGAGAACTGTCAGCTCTTTATCTAATATTCCATAATGCCCGTTTAATAGTTTGTAAAGCTAAGAGGATACCTACAGAAACGTGTTTATATACTATACCAGGGACTTTTTCCCAATACAAACGTGTTTTCAAACCAAAATTTTACGCAAAGTCAGCAGATAAGCATTTCTAAAAATCAAAAAATCAAAACATTTTAAAGGATATGTACAAAACAATTCATATATATCTAATCATTCAATAAATAATCTCTAATAATGTAAACACTATTTATAAATATATAATCATAACATACCCTTATAAGGCAAAAACAGACTAGCAAAATGATGGCAGTTGGAATGACAAGAGAGGCAACAACTGCAGACAGATTGAAGGTTCTGTCAATCCACATAGGTCATTTTTTTTGAATAACTGATTGTAAATATTTCATATTTACCTGTGATCTATCCTTCATCCTGATCGACCATTTTTTGCATAGCCAGATTTTACCAAATAACATAAAATCTTTAATAATTTCTCTAACAAACATTCCAAAACGAATAAAATTACAAATTCAAGGACATGAAAGAGACAATATCTAAAACCTGAAGCCACCATCATGGTGAAAAGCCGAGCCAATGATATTTTAGCTTTGGTACTAAACAAGATCTGCGGGTAATACACTGATGGGTTGCCAGGCAACAAAACATACACCCACAAGATCTACGTCTCATACCAAAGCTCATTAACAATTATTAAAATAATCAACAATTATTAATTATAATAATATCTAGCATGATAAATATCTCTTAAAAAGCAACAAATTTTTATAGATGTATATTCTATATTCTTATAAACTGAGAAGTCATGATCAAAGTGCAAGTAGATTTGAAATAAAATGACAAATACGTACATATATGAGGTCCCTGAAGTTGTATCCACCCCTTTTATTAATGGATCTGAAAAAAGGATTTAGGAGGACTGCAATAAAAAGGGGGTTTGGGGGGGAAAAAGGGATTTTCAAACATAAAACGTAACAAATATATTGTATAAAGTTTGATGATCATTTTGGATTTCTTAAGACCGACTTCACAATAAAACAAGCATCATTATATAACTCTACATCAACCCACGAGCAACGACAAATTACTATCATCTGTTACAACTGTTACAAAACTGGCCGATTGATTGCAACCATTCATCAGCCAATGTCATGGGTTAAACCATTCATCAGCCAATGTCATGGGTTAAACCATTCATCAGCCAATGTCATGGGTTAAACATAAACTAAAATATTTTAAGAATACTGATAGTTCATTGGCTATCACAGATTTTCAATCTTGGCCAATGAAGAGGCTGCATTCTCCAGATATTTTAGTTTAGGTTTTTTCTTGAATTTAGCCCCAGGGCCATAGGAGTGAAGTTTTTACCTATCATGAAATGTAATATTACATTACTGACTTTAATAAAGGCGTTGCCTGAGTGGTGAAAATCATGGTGTCTATAACTGAATAATTAAAACCTGAAATCACTTCATTATTTGCAGACAACAAATTTCCAGGAATTTTAACTAGTATGAAAGTACATAACTCTATTCCGTTTTTTACACCTCAACTTTTCTCATGTTTGGAATGTTCTAAAAGTGCCATACAATCAAATCATCAATAGAACGCTGTTAACGATTACTGCTGACAAAAGATAAAATTCAAATGATGCAGATTCTTTGACAAATCAAATATATGCAAGTCAATCATAGTATAGATGACTGAGTCAAATATAGAATAGATGACTGAGTCAAATATAGAATAGATGACTGAGTCAAATATAGGATAGATGATCAAATATATCAAGTCAACTATAGAATAGATGATTGAGTGAAATATAGAATAGATGATCGAGTTAAATATAGAATAGATGATCAAGTCAACTATGAAATAAATAATAAATTTAAATCAGTGAGTGATTAATCATAATTGTACAAATAAATGATAACAAAATTTGTTTGGAAAATTAAGTATTAATCAAAATGAATAAAGTACAAATGACCAGTAAGTATGGCTGATTGATTAAAAATGTAATAACTTATTTTATTTTATGATCAGTAGTGGAATACCGCGTTTTATCAGTGAAATAAAAGTGTTATTCCACTGGCTAGTTGTTTTTACCTAAAATGATTGTAAAATCATAAAATAAAGAGAACATTTGTCGTTTTGTCGTGAATAACATATTTTATTTCATCTCTAAGCAAGAAAACGTTTATATTTTCACTCATGCTACGCATTCGTGAAAATATAAGTTTTCTTGCTCCTCGATGAAATAAAATATGTTATTCACTCTAAAATGACAAATATCCTCTATATATAAGTAGGCAATAACTTACAATTCTAAGAAAATGAAGATCTAAGAAATGAAGTACAAATGACTTACTTATTATGACTGCATGACTTAGTCTAAGTAAATATATAGAAATGACTTATCAAGTATGTATATATTTACTTCTCCTGGTCTAAATATAGAAATGACTCAATAAGTAGCTACAGATATATCTTAAGTAAATAAAGAAATAAAATGCCTAATATTAAAGTTATCATCTAATAAATGACAAATGAATTAATTACAGTTGATATTAGATCTATCAGCTTATGAATATTCAACATTAACCATCCGACCAATGATTGGAGAGTAAAAGTTTACAATAAAGAAGGCAAATGAACCGTTAATCACAGCCATATGATGAGTTTGGTAATTGCATAGGCACTATGTTCATTAATACACAGACACACACACATATGTATATATATATATAAGTCATGACCCCAGTCATGACCTTTGAACCCTACCCAACCCCATTTAACCCCTGATCACACTACACAGAAGATTTCAATGGAATGAATTTATTAACTTTTGGGCGTTTTCTTCTTCCACTTCCATAATTGACGATCTACTCCTGTACAGTGTTTCATCAGTAATTTTTTCCCGTCAACTGAAACCTCGGCACATTTTTGTGTGTTGACATGGAACAAAGTGTTATCCTGGAAAACAAAAAAAAAACAGACTTGATTTAGAAAACCTCAATATGGGAAAGAAACAAGGTTTGTGTCTTGTCAATATAATACTTCATTTTTGTTTGTTGTTTTTTCCCACCAAAAAGCATACAATAAAATCCTAATTACAAAGCACTGGTCGGTGTAAGCTTTGTTCAGAACTTGACAACACCGGCCAACCTGCTTTTAACTCTAGGTGGGATTGTTTTCGTTTTCCATAGGGGGTTTCAAATTTGAAATGAGTGTACCCAGCCCTTGTAATGAAGGGATCAGACAATAAATGATGTTGAAGAAAATAAAGTTACCGCTCTGTACTGCCATTCTTGATTTCCCTTCTGCCCATGACAAGGGTAGATAATAACATCTTCACCTCCCGAATAATCTAAACATCCGTCATCTCGTCGTATTTCACTGTTTTTACTCAACATCCAATACTGGAAATATAAACAATTACAAATACATAAAATATAAACAATTACAAATACCGGAAATATACACAATTGCAAATACTGGAAGGGTAAACAAAAACTAAAAAAAAAATAAACAATTGCAAATACTGAAAATATAAACAATTGCAAATACTGAAAATATTAAGAAATACAAATACAGGAAATATAAAGAAATACAGAAATTCTAAATACATGTACACAAATCGAAAAACTGCAATCATTTGAAATCTGAATTCCCCTAAAAAAATTCCACTCTCTGATATCTGGACATGAAATCAAAACAATCCCTAATTTCAATGTGGAGGATTAAGTGTCTGGATATCCATATGTGTGAACTAACCTGACGAGACTTAATGATATTTCTCCATCTATTGATATGATAACGATAGAATTCGTTACGTCGTTGTTGTGTTTTATTTTGAGATGTTGATGTTGTGCTGGATGCCTGTAATTTTTTGTATATTAATTATGTAACATGACACAATTACTTGTATATTGTGTAACATGACACAATTACGTTTATATTATGTAACATGAAATAATTATGTTAATGTTATTGAACATGACACAATTACTTGTATATTATGCAGCATAAACGATTGCGTTTATAGTATGTACCATGAAACAATTAGTTGTATATTATGTAACATGGAACGATTACTCATATTTTATGTAACATGGAACAATTAATTGTATATTATGTAACATGGCACAATTACTTGCATTTTATGAAACAATATTACTCGTATATTATATAACACATGGAATAATTACTTGTATATTATGTAACATGAAATAATTATATTGTCTGAAGTCCTGGGCTCTCAATTAAACTTTTCTTGCCAGTCAATGACTATTAATGAAAAATATCTGACAGAGGAATCTTCATATCAGAAAATTCAAATAATTAACTGAATTTTCATAATTCAAAATTCAAGAAAGAAATATTTTAAGAAACTGAAACATTTATAGAGTATATTTCAGATTTGAATGTTGTAACTGGAATGCAATGGTCCAAATAACAAGATTTGATGACTGTGTTCTATACACCCATGTATAGACTTTTATTCCACATTATTCACATATATTATAAAGACCAACACAAATAATTAATGTATCCCTCTATTTTAGTATAACAGTTTAACAGAAAGTATCCCCTATTGTGTTAAATATAGTAAATAAGTTATTCATTTCCTCCCAATCATTGTATTGTATATAAATTTCCATCAAAATTCAAATAGATAACTTTTCATAAAGTGAATCAATTTCCTCTTGTGACATTAGTCAAGGATGAATAGCACAATGAATCATTTATCCATGGAGTAGCACTATTATTGAGCTTTTATCGAGCTGTCTGTCTCTATTATTCAGTTAAATCAAAATTATAAAAACTTTCTACTCCGTTTTGTATGTGACAAGGAGTATTTCACCTATCCAATCTTGCGGGTTTACTTTCGGTCCTCTGGTTTCCTCCAACAGTGGATTATTGGAATGAAACGGAACCATATGTTAGTCCCAAAATCTTCTAGTTTGTACAGGAATCCGCAAAATCTTTTAAAACGGCATTGATTAATAAGATGCTTGCTTGGCTGTCTAATCATGATTAAACATACTATTACACTGTCATCTCAGTATCATGTCTGTCTAATCATGGTTAAACATACTTTACACTCTCAAGATCCACAACATGTTGTTTTTCTTAACCATGTATTTAGATTTTAACGGAGTGGTCAAGCGATTGTCTGTTATTACAAACAAAACTTGCTTTTGAATGGATGCAGCTTGCAATAAGTGCTTGTTCTCACTTTTAATAAATATACAACTAATGCTACGTGGTATCAGATGTTCTAGAAACGATAAACATACTATGCTTCAAGCAGCAAGATTTCAAAAACTGAAGGCTAGTGGCCAGAAGGTAACCCTGAGGTATGGAGACAGACAACTCGATACAAAATGACTCTACTGGTAAATTTAGGTCTTGGAGAAAGAAAAGAAGACATTGTTAAACTAAATTTGTAGTGTGGTTGATCATAAGAAACTTGTAAAACTCATCAGCGCAGCATAAGCTGGTACTTCTGGACTAGATAATTGTGTGATTTAGGGAGAAGGAATTAAAAATAATAATTTCATCTAAGACCTGCTTTCCATGTACCTGTTTCTTCCAGCAGTAAAACGCAACGTGAACCCAATTTTTGCATTTGTATGTGTACAGAAAAATCGCTGAAAAGTTGAGAATATCTCTTTACAGTATGGAGCCCGGCATTGATATAATAACACAATGTCCAAAAAATCTACCATTTACAAGCTGAATTTGCAGAAACAAGAGCGGTTGATTGATTAAGTGGAAGAGAACTTGTATTTGAACGACAGAATGTAAACATCCGCAAGCGCACACTTCACACGAGAAAAAAACGCCAGCAAAAAAGTCGCTCATCGAACAATTTTTTCTTTTCTCACGCATTTTCATACGTGCAGGAACGTTTACATGGAAACAGTCCCATAACATTTGCATTAGATCACCCTTTTCGCAAGCGGAAACGCGTACATGGAAAGTGGACCTTTGGGAAGTTTAAAATCAATCATGATTGAGTATTAAAGAGAATGTACGTAACAGCACCATAAAAACCCTCTCCATATAAGGCTTAAGGCCTGACACAAACTTTTCATTTTAATACAATACCTGATAAGTGTGCTGTATTTGAAAAAAAGGAGAGATGTTTGAAATTTAATGGTGATATTAGGAGACACTGGATTGAATTGTCAACAAAACAAGTAGGTCATCTTTATCAAAAACTTTTGATTAAATCAGAGAAAATCTCATTAGGCCATATCTGTTTCCATCTCAGTTGAGAGATTAGATGCTTGACCATACCAGACCCTTTGTCCTGCCTAACATACAAGAGGTAACCAGGCTGGAAAACCCAGGAAAACTATTCTCAACTAAAACCTGCTCTTGAAGTGTCACATGATCAACCAACAATCATCACTCGTCGCTAAATTGTTTACTTGGATGAAGAAATGTGGTTGTATATGCACTCTTTGTCTTCTGTTGAATTGAGGACCTATTATTACATTTTCGTGTTCCCACCCATCGACCGTTTTTGTCTCGACAATCCAACAGCTATTTTAACGAAATATTTCCCAGACCTAACATCTTTAGGGATAGGATGTCTTGACCAAGACCAGGATCCGACCTGGGATCTCATGTGGCTACAGCAGGTGAAGAGGACTAGTTGATAAAGAACATAGCAGATGCCAACTTAACTTTCATGATTCATGTGGACCACAGCACTGGGATATAACCTTGGTAGAAACAGACATGAAACAATTCAAAAAATCTTACCTGATTTCCACCTTGTGCGTGACATGGCCACATGTTGACTGGTTTATGGTAACTATGGTGATCAGATGGACTATCTATACACATAGGTTTAGCTTTACTTCTTATCTGAAAAACAATACATGTTGAATTAACAAACAATTCTGATCTCTATTCCATTTCTACACCAAAGATTTATCTGAAAACTTGAATTCAGGACAGACAGCATTCTTGATCTCGGGATGTCAAATTTTTGTGATGAGGACTTTAATGGAATATGGGGCTTAGTCAGTACTTAAGTTATCTTGTAATTTTTTATTTTAATGATTACATGTGCAATTTGAAGTGGAGAATTTCGCCCAGGCAGCAGGATCAAATTTTCTAACCAATTTGAGGATTTAATGTATAAATATAACAACATCTGCAGAGCACCAAATTAAAATATAATCACATTGATGATAATAAGGGTGCTTGTTGAATTGAGTACCACAGAATAGAATGTCCTATCACTGTTCTCTCAATACCAGAATCCTACAATATGGACACAGTTCACCAAATATTTCTACGCTGTCACCCACGAAACAAGGGCCAAAGCTATTTTAGTCTTTCTCTCCCTTTTCCTTTTTCACCCTTTTGCATGCGATTTTTGTTGAGTTTTTGGTGTAGAATCGATTTTCTGCCTGTCTTTGGTGAATATTCATGATTTTAAGGTAGAAGGATATGAGAGTTGAGAGGTTGTTTAGGTTGAAATGTAGGGCCGATAATTGCATGTTAACGGTTTGTGTATCTCAAGATTTACATGGTGGACCTCATACGTGCTTTTGGGCAAGAGGTTGCCACATGTTGCTCCATCTATGGTAGAAAGCGTTCTACCCAACGAAAGTTTGGGAAAAGTTAGAGCCGGTCTGAGAGACGAGAATTAACATTAACTTCAATGGGGAAATCATTAGTGATCTGTGGCCATATCTTTTAAAGTATTAAAGTGTAGTTACCTCCCCTGAAGCAATAGATTCTCCAGGTACAAATAAATCTGGATAAACATTCTTCACAAACCAATCAAAACTTTTACACTGTAAGTTTTTACGCAATTCTTTTCGGGCTGTAACATCACCAAAATCACCCTGAAATAATCAAATCATTCAATATATCAATTAAAACATTTGTGTGGTAAGGTTGGGGGGGGGGGGAATCATATCCTAAGTTTTCATGTATGAAAAGGTTGTTTATCCGCGGTTCATTGAATGTGATAATGAATGATGGAGAGAGAGTTTCTGTTGAACTATTTTGTTTAACTACAGATCAACATTATCCAGTTTTTAAATGTATAATATCAAGTGTTTGTCCACATAGAAACTATTAATTAACTATTTCTATTATGTTTTATGGTTGAACTCTTTGAAATGAAATGAAATGGGGTTTAAAGTTCTACTGTTCTGCACTTGACCGGACTAATGAATACGGGCATGTGCCATACAGTGTGCTATGAGGGGAATTTTGCCCGGACACCGGCACAATCTTGTATCGCATTCCAACTGCCAAGGGATATTTTATGTGCACGCCAATGTGTACACAGGAACTTAGTTTTCCGTCCTATCCGAATGACTATACATTGTCCCTTGTCAGGCCCTCTGTTTTGTACCACTGACAAGGGGGAACCACGCTGGAAAATCTTATGTGAATTGCCTGACGGACAGGTATGTTCTCCTCCCGGTCAGTCAAGATGGGTAAACGACAGATAGAAACTTACCAAGTCATGGTTAAATCTTTCATAATAATAATCTCTATATTCATCCATCCAAACTTCCGCTAAACGCACAGAATTCTTCTTCACTACATTTACTCCAGTTCTCCATTTATACGGACTTCGTTTACGGAAAATATGACCTACATGAGAACAGGGAATAATTTCTAGCGTACCACCACACATCCACACCTGAAATATACATAAATCTATTTTGAAAAAAAAAAAATATAATAAAATGAAACAGCAGGAAATTTGCCCAGACCTTGATGCTTCCAGCTTCCACCTATTATTCGTTGAATCCCAAACTGCCGGGGATTCTTTTGTGCAGGCTAATGTGACTATGGCACCTTCATTTTTTTGTACCATCCCAATAACTAGACACAGTTCCTTGCCAGGTTCTCCGTCCTGCACCACTGACAAAGGGCAACTATTTTGGAAAATCCCATGGAATTTTCTTGACCAACACTGGGATTTGTGTTTCTGCTAGATAAATTGATGAGTCATTTTTAGAAAATTGATTTGAAATTATTTAATATAAGACTTTATATAAGAAAACTCGGACATTAAATGCCATTTCATTTCAAGCATTTAAATACCTTTCTTTATTAAGTAATATGGTACACCAACCAACGATGACTACTTCATGCCTAATAGACAAATATAGCGACATTTTGACATACCCTAAAAGATGACAACTGAATGCCTAATAAACTAACAATACCCTAAAAGAATAACCAATATTTGATTTACCATAAAAGAAAAACAACAAATATTTTGACTTACCCTAAAAGAAAGCTCTAAATTTTCACCACCCCAGATATCCATTCCTGGATCATACGTTCCTAAATGTTCAAAATATTCTCTACTAATAGTAAATAATCCTCCAGCCATTGTAGGTGATCTGAAATATACATCATTTATCATCTATACTAATATTTGTGACTGTCGTTTGTCTGTCTGTTTGTTTGTCTGTTCGGGGTTGGCGGCTACACTAGGTCTGCCCGGAGTCTGAAATTTGGGGTATAGGGGTAGCTCGGACCGGGGTGTAACACAGGCCAGGTGGCGTTAGTCTACCACTTCCGGTTTCGGGGTTATGACCCCCAAGCGAAGCCGGGCATTCTTCTAGTATACTATATTTGTTCTCCTGGAGACTAAAGGGGGATAACTCTTCATATTTGTCATCCAGAGGGGGCTCTCCATCAAAATGTCTATGTTGTTTTCTATTTAACTTGATATTATTTAAATGAATTACCTGAATAAGAATTTTATTTATTTGGGGTTATTCCTGAAGAGCTAATTTACATATAAACGTTTCTATAAAGAGAATTATTGAATACAATTTGAAGACTAAAGGGGGACAACTCTTGCCATAAGAAGACATGCATATTTTTCATTTTGAGCTCAAAAGAAGATAAATAACCTTATTCTAAATTTAAAAAATCAAAAGATTGAAGCAATATCGGTCCAAAGATGGTTCAATTCAGTATTTACAAAGTTATAATGAAGCGTTTAAGACGAGTGATCATCTATTGTTAATATTTTGATTTGTTTTCTAAATTAAATGTTGAATAATTCATTTAAATACCTTTTAGCTTAGATTAAGCTGTGAAAAATTAGATGTTGTCCGAAACAATGCAAAGATAATCTGATAAATGAATAATACATTTAGAAGTATACTTCTTGCGACATTTTGACAAAGTTTCTCTTGTCTTTACCAAGAACCCTTGTCGAACATCGGCAGAAATAAACTTCTAGAGTAACTTGTATTCTATATAATGGGGTCATGTATTAATCTCATTCACTTAATAAATGCCGCTTAAATAATTGATAAATGAATAATAAAGATTTGTTACCTGAGTGGAGCAATATCATTGTTTCTACGTCTTCTTTCATATTCAGGAATAGCATGCCATGTAAACTGCATGTTCCAATCAAAACCACCGATACTTGTAGCTTTGGCACTGCCATATTGATATTTAAATGTGTCGTCTTCTATGACGTCAATAACTGGACAGACAACTGTTGTTTTATTTTCAGCAATACGATCCAGTAGAGGCTCTAACCAACCTGGTAATAGTAAGTATTAATCAGATGGTATTTCCATACAGAATGATTGAAATATCTTTATTACATAAACATCACTATGGAGCTAATGAAGACATGCCTGTACCGTAAAAGGCGAATCTGCTTGGACAGGATGCTTTCCCATGCACACCAATGTGTGCACCAGACCTTGATTTTTTTCCCATCCAAATGACTAGACACTGTTCCTGGCCAAGTCCTACACTGCTTACAAGGGTAAACCATGATGTAAAATTCTGAAGAACTTTCTCTGCCAACATGAGGATTGAACCCAGACCTCCTGGCTAGTGAGCCAGTGACATACTCACTGAGTCTTTTTAGCTTTGGTATCGGAGGGGAGGTGGGTGGAGGGGTATTTAACAATTTTATTATTGGTTGCTATGGTCACCAGTTTACTGTGCCCATTTCTGTTTTAGGCTAATCTAATAACAAAATGGATCCAGTAAATAGAACATTTAAGTCATACCTAATTACTCAGTGACTGGTTCCTACGTGATATCAATTCGTTATTGGTGTCCTTGGCATAGAATGGACATTATTATCATTATTTAATGTGCTTTTTTACTTTATAAAATGTATGTCTATATGACAGCTTACCTTCTGTACATTCACAATGAGAATCTAGGAATGTTACTGTATCTGCCGTGGCAGCGGCAAAACCTAATAATCGAGCTCGGATTAATCCTTCTCGTTTCTTTGCTCTAACTATTTTCACCTTCCCTAACTTTTCTGTGTACTCTTGTAATGGTTTCTTTAAATGATCTGGAAATAAACAATCATTTTAATCTTTAATTAATTAGTAAAACGATCGTAGCAAAATATCCGAAATAAAATCTGAAAAATAATATGTTAGAAAATTGAATGCAGTAAAAGTTGTGATTTTTTCGAACATTAAAATAATAGAAGTCAACAATGGGTGTGCAATGCATTAGGTCATACTCATGTACAGTGAGCATGTAATTGTTTAGGTAAACAATGGGTGTGCATCATTAGTGTGAGGGGTTGGATGGCCAAATGGTTAGCGCGTGCACGCTGTATCATAAGGTCGGTCATGATGTCAACTGGCATCGTTTCAATTCCCCGGTGGCAAGGATTAGGGTCACCTATCCAAGCTCCGGGTCCTCTGAATTCCTCCCACTGCTAAAGACCCCTACCCCCAAGCGAATTATTGAAATGAAATTTAACCATGTGTAAGTCCCGAAATGAAATCGCTCTCTTTTCTTTTGATATCTGCCCAATATTTTTATTTCATAACCAATGATTTACAGTACTCTGAGGTGTTCTAATTTTGAGTAACTGCCATCAATATTACCCCCTCTATCTCTCTCTCTCTCTTCTCTCTCTCTCTCTCTCTCTCTCTCTCATCATTAGTGTAAACAAAGGGACGCACTGACCCATTAGGGTAAACAATGGGTGTGTAGTCATAAAGATAAACAATGGGTGTGTAGTCATAAAAGTAAACAATTGGGGTATGTGCTTATTAAAGTAAACACACAGAGTAACAGGGACCTGAACAGAATATTTCAACTAAATCTAATATACTTATATACTAAAGACAAAATGTCAACAGAACTATTGTCTATTAAATATCTTAAATAAATAACAAGTATAAAATTGATATATCTGTTTAAATATATAGTAACAAGCATGTGTGATTGAACTGTTAAACTTGATGAACCCTGAAATCTTCTGTTATTATAAAGTGTACCAATTGTTAACATAACACAACCTGTTTAACACATAATATATCAAAATATTTAATATTGAAGATCACTGCCATTATTTTCACCATGTCATGTTGAATGAAATATAATATTTCAAATTTTTTTATGATTTAGTTTCAGTAATGTGAAGCATTTCAAAATAAATATTAAAACCTCTTGAATTCTAAACATTTTATTAAAATGTTTATATACTATCTTAAGTCCTAAAAGAGGAGGTTGAAAGTATTTTCTAAGTAGAACGAGATATATAAATTTTAATCAGAATTCCCTTAAAATCTCGGATGAATAAGTTTAATAAGTCTTTCAATGATAATTTAGAAACTCTTAATTGATTCTTCAAAATAACCAATGTATACTTATTAATCCAATATATGCTCAGTGGCTCAATGAGTAAGGCACTTGATTGCTAACCATGAGGTTTGGGGTTCAATAAAGGTGATGGTCGAGAAAGTTCCTCGGGATTTGCCGACATGGTTTCCCCTTGTCACTGGTGCAGGAGGGAGGGTCTGGCTAGGAAAAGGTTATAGTCGTTCAGATTGGACATAAAACCAAGGTCCAGTGTAGACATTGGTATGCAAGTAAAAGACCCCTTTGACAGTTGAAATTTGAAATAAGAATAGGCCGTAGTGCTTTCTCGGTATCCCCAGTGGTATTGCTCCGGTCTACTCCACTAACCCCTGGGTCCTTCCACAGGGTTTGCAAGAATTCAAATTATCTCCCTTGATGATTTCATTGGCTACGTTGACTGATTCTACAAACTAATCAAAAAACAGTTTGGTGTCATTGTTTATGTCCACCACAACACAGCAGCTTGATTATGAGAAAGTAATTTAACATCGAAGAAGTGACATGCACACAAAACAATGTACTAAAGTTTGCAATAACGATTTGACACAAAGTAAATCATTTACTACATTTTGTTTCCTTCTATAAACTTAATTAAGCAAGTTGTAACTTGGGTTATTAAAGCTCTTTATGAGGTAAGGCAATCTATTGAGTCGGCTAATAAAAAGCTTTTAATTGCAAAAGTATTATTCACAGTATTTCGATCATGTCATCTTCTTGTATTATAAAATTTATTTGAACGATTAAATTAATGTTTGTTTGTCTTTATTTCGTTAAAAGCATTCAATTTTCCAAAACATTATTTACAATGGCTTCTCTATTGTATTGTTATCCTATTAATACGTATTATTATTCCTGTTCTAAAATCAGGCTTTGCTGTGATATAACAAATGAAATTATGCATTGTTATGATATAACAAATAAAATCAGGTATCGATTATGATATAACAAATGATATATTACAGCATTAGTTAATTGTTGTTTACTCTGTGTTCAAGGTCTGTTGATTTAATATCGGTTAATCAATTGACATGAGTATCACAAACAGAATATGAAATATGATGATATTAATCAGAAAGCTAATAATTTAACATACACAGATCATACAATTCCTTTTAATATAGAATTACTGTACTATTAATAGTTTTTGAGAATTTCATTAAATTCTTAAAAACAGATTTGATTTGTTTGATGTTTAAAATCCAAAATCTTGTTGATTTGAAATCATCAAAACATTTTACAAGATAAAAAAAATTGTAGTTTGTCAAGCGCTAAGGCACTAGGGGATCAAATCCTGTTGTCGACAAAGAGATCCATCTATTTCACACTTCGAGAATAGATCTCTGCCCTAAATGACCTCCATATCCAAAAATTAGTATACTGTTTATGTAATGTGTTTCTATTGTGTTTCACATGTCATACACACAAAGATTAAATAAACTTCTTTCAGTTTTATTAAATGGGAGCAGAATAAATACTCAACAAAATTCTCGAAGTATACTTAATCGTCAATTTAGTACTTAAAATGTCGGTCAACTAGCTTAGTGTCTGTTCTCAGGTGGAGCTAACTGTAGACAGACAGCCTAGGTTTAGTATGCAAACCCTGTTGTGAACCTATCATGAAAGTTGGCTGGGAGCAGTGCCTGCAGAGCTGACATGGAAAGTGTTGCTTAGTCGTTTAAATGGTTCGAAAGATCAGGGGTTAAATAAAGCTATTTTACACAATTTTCTACATCCTTCAAAGCTTTGAGAAAATACCCTTGAACGTGTTGCCTACATATATTAGTAATTCTTCTCCCATATGTATATGTTATAGTTTATTGTAATTGATTTTAGTTATAGAAACATGATTGATGGCAGTTAGTTTTAATTGTGTGTTTATTGACAACCCTACATATTAACATTTTACCATCCAGTCTTATATATCAGGGGAGATGTAATAAAGTTTATTTACACATACATAGATCTGATACATCAGGGGAGGGATGTAATAAAGTTTATTTCATTGTTGAGTATTATTAAAACAAATTGATTGTACAGTAGTGTAAATATACATCAATCTATATCAACAGAGTAAAATATATTTGATTCAACATGTTTATGAACTTTTGTGTATAAGAAGGCCATGAAGACAGGCATAAACCATATGCAGTGTGCTATAAAATGAAATGAAATGGGGTTTAATGTCCTACTGTTCTGCTCCGACTGGGTTAATGAAGACAGGGACAGTGTGCTATAAGGTAAATTTTACTCTGATGGCGATGTTATGGCTTACTCTTATTTCAAGTTAAAAATTGTTATGGAATCTTTTAGATGCTGCCAATGGTATACTCATTTCCAAAGGTTTTTTTGTCCCATCTGAATGACTACACACTTTTCCTTTCCAGGCCCTTTGTCCTGCAATACTAACAAGGGGAAACCAGGCTACAATACCATGAGGAACTGTCCTGGCCAACACCAGTTTCACAAAAAATTCTCAGACTTAAGCTAAGAATTTACTCAAAATTGTTCACCTTATATAAATAAAAAATATAGCGCAAGAGAGAGAGAGAGAGAGAGAGAGAGAAATGGGGTTTAAAGTCCACTCAACACAAACTAGGTCAGTTCGGGACTAACATATGGTTCAATTTTATTTCAACAATTCTCTTGCGTGTAGGGGTCTTTAGCAGTGGGAGGAAACCCACGTGGTTTGATATGTGACCCTACTCCTTGTCACATACAATCGGGGAATCAAACCACTCCAGTTGATTCCATGACAGACCTTATGACCTTATGATACAGCGTGAACATGCTAACCATTTGGCCATCAACCCCCCCAAAAATATAGCCCTATATAAAACTTTTGTTGTTTTAATGTATCAAATACACCAATAAGAAACTATGTGCAAAGTTTTGTGTTTTTGGATCAGAGATATTTCTTATAAACAGTGAAAGTTGAGTTAAGTCTGAGATAGCTATGTGAAACCAGTTCCTGTTTATTGAGCCATCAAGTCACTGACAACAGAGCTACCCACCAAATCCTGGAAACAAAGATATAAACTGTCTCTAACTCACCCATATCAGAGAAATCATCAACCAGTATAATTTCTTTAATAAGGTGTTTCGGAGATCGATCTAAAATACTGTGTATGGTACGCAATAATACTGTCCAGGCTTCATTATGGAAACACACCACTACGCTCGTATCGGGAAGATTTCTACGATATTTTTCATCTTTACATCTGAAATGTTTAAATAAAATCATTTATTAATCAATCTACTATTACAGTAAATTACAACATCATATCCAGGCAACAAAACATGATAGGTTACCAGGCAACAAAACATGACAAGTTACCAGGTAACAAAATGTCATAGTTTACCAGGAAACAAAAAATGACAGGTTAGCAGGCAACAAAACATGACATGTTACCAGGCAACAAAACACCATAGTTTACCAGGAAACAAAACACCATAGTTTACCAGGAAACAAAACATGACAGGTTACCAGGTAACAAAACATGACATGTTACTAGGCAACAAAACATCACAGGTTACCAGGCAACAAAACAGTTTCATCAAAAATCATAATTTTTGTCTGTAGGACAAACACAAGAACAAGACAAAAATCTTAGATATTTTAGGCCATAGAAGAGGAAGTAAAATGGACCCAGATTACCAGGAGAACCCCCCCCCCCCCCCCACAATATTAGGCAGACAAAAACCTAACATTTGTTACATATATATATACATATTAAGGATCAAACGCACAAGTTGCTTGCAGCCTCCCTCTTTATTGAACTCTTTTATAATTACAATTATTTCATGTCTAGTCCACCTGTACAAATCTTTACTTTTTTTAAATGTCAATTGCAAATAAAACCACTGTTAAAATCCCATTACCGGTATTTAAATGTATCTTTATAATCTACCAGATGCTACAAACAGACTAACAGAACAAGATTTATAACTAATCAAACATCGTGCTTCACCAAACAAATAGAATTTTCTTCAAAAACCACATAATTATGACGACAAGCTAGATACAGATCAAAACACTTGACAGACTACATTTCTTTTTCACGACTGATACATAATTACTGATGAGAGGTAAAAATCTGGGAAATTATGAGAAATGCCAAGTTTGAGACGTGGGAGCGTTAATTACGTCTGGATAATTGTATAATTACAGATAAGTGGTACTTAGTGTTCTAGGATAAAAAGGGAATATGTCAGAATAATTGTACAATTATAGTACTTTTGTATGATGGTGTCTCAATTTCTAGTTCTTATAAATGACCAGGAACATGCTATGTCTAGATAGACCAATTAAACTAATTTAATTTAAAGTAACTCCGGGTTATGATAAATAAAATGGGAAACAACTCAAATGTAGAGGTTTTATCTAGAATTTCAAAATTTGAAGATGTTGAACTCAAACTTTTGATAAGAGCAACCAATTATTTTTGATATTTAAATCATTATTTTTTCTTGAAGAAACAGGACATAAAATTTGAAGCGAGTTTCTGATCATTGTACAGGAAGGCTGTTTTTACATCCAAGAACTGTTTCATACATAATTACAAGTTATTCAATTTTGTGAGATAAACCAAGATATCAAAACCTAAAATGGAAACAGATCTTTGCTAATTTTCAACCTGATTAACACCAAGATAATAGTTTCTATGTCAACTGTTTCTATGGCAACAGACATCCGCTATTTGTTAAAAGTGAAATTTCATAATTTTAAGACGGAAATGATTAGAGATGTCTAGCCTGAACGTTAATTAAAAACATCTTCTTTAAGGAAACTTGTACATTGTATTAAACATATCCTCATTTCACTATTAGCCAATATTGGTAAGCTGACAAGTAAAGAGTGTCTAGTTTTTCGGATGAGATAAAAAAAAAATCTGAGTCCACCCAAGTTCACATTTGATGGTTGTAATTTGATGAAGAGTTGGCCAAAAAGGTGCTACCTGGGCAAATTTCTCCTCCCTAGCATCCAGAAATAACCATGGAAACAGATAACTGTTAGTCTCAAGCATTAACGAGATTTGAAATTCCAATCCTTTCATATCCAATTAAAACCTTTGTTCCTGAGTTCCATGTAGCACATGAAGGGAATCTACTGTATTCACCTAATATGATAAAGAGGTTTAGGGTTAGTTGCAGTCATCTGGGAAGATATATGTTCCTATTTAAAGTTCTGTAGGAACTGGTTAAAAGGGAGGTAGGATTAGCTGCACTAAATATCTCGTAACATAGATTATAGAAATATAGCAAATAATGTATTAACTTCACACCTAAAGTCATACCAATAATGATACCAATGATATAAATTTCAAAACATCGTAACAATTTTAGAAATGCTAGTGATATTTCTTTCTGATTTGATAGTTCCTGTAGCTAACAAAAGATTTAACCAAAATATATAATTTTTAAAACATTGTAGCCATTTTTAGAATGCTAATGATATTTCTGATCCGATATTTCCACATAGCTAACTCTACTTTATGATACCTTAACTTTAAAATATGTAAAACCACTTTTAATTCATTTGATTTGATAAATTCACCTGCTCAACTCAAAAATCCTTAAGCTAATAATTTAGTCTGTGGGTTTTGAAATGTCTCGTGTGTCAAGATGGCGAAGACAATTTATTGTTCCGAGGAGAAAAGGTTATCGTTACTTTTTAAATGAAATTGTGATTGTACTGGCAATTTTGATGACGTTGATTTATCAGTTAACAAAATATCTATATTTAGTTCAGAAATTGGTCTCCATTTTGTTATTTCTAACATTTGTAACAACCAGGAATCTTTGTTTAAAATGAAATGAAATGGTGTTTAACATCCTACTGTTCTGCTCCTAAACTGGGCTAATGAAGACAGGAAATTTTGCCCGGGCAGCGGCACTACGGCCTACTCTTATATCGTGCACGCCAATGTGTACACGGGACCTCGATTTTCCATCCCATCTGAATGACTAGACAGCTGTCCTTGTCAGGCCCTCCGTCCTGCATCACTGACAAGGGGAAACCACGCCGGAAAATCTGGATGGACTTTCTCGGCCAATGCTGGTATCCAACACCCGACCTCCAGACTAGCGAGCCAGCATCTTACCCACTTAGCCACCGGGATCCCCTCAATAAAGACAGGTTGCCAGGCAACGAAACATACGCCCACAGCAGCTATATCGTCCGGGCAGTCAACAAGAGTTGTCACATATTTTTACTTTTTTCGGTAATGAAACATTTATAATACATCAAAATCTGATTAAGAGTAACAACTCATTAAGTAATTATCAGAAAACCATTAGAATTTGTTTGGTTTTTATAAAGTCCTGTCCCATGCTAATGTTTAGTATACAAAACTTTTAACATCATGGATTTAGCTGTTCAAGTCATAAAGATTCATTGAAAATCAATATACTTGTTCGTCTCAATCTGAAGTCAATCGGATGATAACTTTAGCCTCTAGAGCGTCACAAGATTTTTCAAAGTGATCAAGGGCCATAACTCTGGCAGTAATTATCCGAAATCGTTGAAAATCAATATGATTCTTCATCTCATGACCTCAAACACTGTGTATAAATTTAAAGTCAATCGGATAATAATTTTAGCCTCTACAGCGTCCACAAGATTTTTCAAAGTGATCAAGGGTCATTACTCTGGCAGTAATTATCGGAAATCGCTGAAAATCAATAGGCTTCTTCGTCTCATGACCTTAAACACTGTGTATAAATTTAAAGTCAATCGGATATTAACTTTAGCCTCTGGAGCGTCCACAAGATTTTTCAAAATGATCATGGGCCATAACTCTGGCAGTAATTATCGGAAATCGCTGAAAATCAATAGGCTTCTTTGTCTCATGACCTTAAACACTGTGCATAAATTTCAAGTCAATCGGATATTAACTTTGACCTCTAGAGCGTCCACAAGATTTTTCAAAGTGATCAAGGCCCACAACTCTGGCAGTAATTATCGGAAATCGGTGAAAATCAATACGCTTCTTTGTCTCATGACCTTAAACACTGTGTATAAATTTGAAGTCAATCGGATATTAACTTTGACCTCTAGAGTGTCCACAAGATTTTTTGAAGTGATCAAGGGCCATAACTCTGGCAGTAATTATCAGAAATCGCTGAAAATCAATAGGTTTCTTCGTCTCATGACCTTAAACACTGTGTATAAATTTAAAGTCAATCGGATATCAACTTTAGCCTCTAGAGCGTCCACAAGCAATTGTGGACACCGGACCGACAGACCGACGGACGGATCGACGGGGACGACGACAATATACCACCACATTTCAATGTGGGCTTATAAAATTGAAACAGGGTTCTAATGTCTTATACCAACCCCGCAAAAAATATTTCAACCAATCAGAATCTGTCTACTACCGATCAAAACAATCATTTTTATGTCGTAATCAATTGTTCATTAATGTCATTTTTGAAATACTTACTCTACGTCTCTGACGTCTGGTAAACTCCGATGTAATGACATCATGTCACTGACGTACTGGTTGTAGGCGTTCTTCTGCCAACCATCGTCATATTTTTTACGTTCGTCACTGGATAATGTATCTTTATTAATATTGATGGGTTTACCTTGTTCACCTGAAAGACATAAAACAATTCAATTTACGTATCAAATGATTACATTCAATGAATGAGTATTTACCTTCTAGGCACATACAGGTATATATCAATCAGCTCGGACATGATTGATTAACTTGCTCGTTCATATATTGATATCTACATCTTACCTTAAAAGACAATCAACTCACAGAACTACATCAGTGACAGTATAATCGTGTCAAAACATTCACTCTATGTTATAGAGGATCTGACAGATCAAGCATATTCACAGAGAGAGAGAATTTAAAACTTTAATAATAAAGGAGTGGATCTGGGGGTAATTGGGTGGATCTGTCTGGGGGGTAATTGAGTGTGTCTAGGGGGCCAGTGAGTGGGTCTGGGGGCCAGCCCTAAGCATCCACTGTACATCTTTATTTCTATAATTTACTTGAGAACACAGGTCTCATCGGTGACCCTAATTCTTGCCACATTTAAACCCAGACTCGAACCCATGTCTTAGATTAATTACAGACATTACACTCAGCCAAGATGGAACAAAATAAAGGCCAAACTATACAGTTTGAGACTAACATGTGCTTATTTTTATGTCTATGGTTTTGTGAATATAAGAGAATTATTTTCTTGAAATTTCTACTGTCAAGGGATTGTTTTATGTGTATGCTGATGTTTAAATGTAAGGACTGTATATCAAAGGAATGTTACAAATCTGTAGCCCTTGTATACCTTTCCAGTCCTTGTATACCTTCCAGTATATCAGTCTAGCAACTGGTCTTAATAGTGGGGTTTCACTGTACTATGACCAGTTTACCTTGGACACAGAATCTCAAAAAATATGATGGCACTTTTAACAAAGAGAGGCGATAAAATTTCCTACTTGCTGTTCAATTTTCAGGCTATGCTAGACTGGTGTCTCATTCACCACTAGTTTATCTGCCATTTGTTGGTGATATCTCCCTAGGTGTTTAAGTGAACATAAAGCTACCAGAAGAAGAAGAAGAAGAAAACACAGTTTTCCTGTCAACAAATAGAACTACTAAGTAAGCAGTAACCTTGGTGACATAGCATCAAATATAAAGAATAAATGACAGTTATCAATTAAACTATAATTGAAGAACCTTTATGCACTTATGTAAAGAAATGATTAGAAAGATTTCTGACACAACAACTATGTTACAATTTTGAAGAACATCTATTATCTTGAATGAATGAATGAACACAACAGCTATGTTGTGATATGAAGCACATCTATGCAGAAATGAAATGAAATGGGGTTTAACGTCCTACTGTTCTGCTCAGACTGGGCTAATGACGACGGCATACGCCATACAGTGTGCTATAAGGGAAATTTTGCCCGGGCAGAGGCACTATGGCCTACTCTTATATCGAATTCCAACTGCCAAGGGATCTTATGAGTGCATGACAATGTGTACACAGGACCTTGGTTTTTCATCCCATCCAAATGACTAGACAGCTGTCCTTGTCAGGCCCTTCCGTCATGCACCAGTGACAAGGGCAAAATCAAGATGAATTTTCTCAGCCAATGCAGGGATCGAACACCCAACCTCCAGGCTAGCGAGCCAGCATCTTACCCACTTAGCCACCGTGGCTCCCAAGAAAATCTGTGCACTTGAATGAATGAATGAATGAATGAATTAACACAAGGTATTTTGAGAATTGAAGAACATCTATGCAAATAAATGAATGAATGAATGAATAAATGAAGATTTATGACACAACAATGTTGAGATTTTTCAGTTTTAAATCTATTGATCAGAGCATCAGTCCAGTATTATGCAAATAATACAATTTGCCAGCTGTTGTTGAAATAAAACTTTCCTTTAGATATTATTTGAAAACTACTGTTTTTATGATACAAATCAATCTCCATTGATTATGTGTCATGTCATTGCAAAAAAGTTTTCAGATTTCTGCTGATACGTACAATAAAGTTTTTGATATAGATTGACAATGAATCATTTCGCTTTCTAAATTTAAGAAGAAGATTATAAAAAAACAACACATTATAGATTATTAATGAAAATAAATATTTTTACTTCGAAAATAAAATCAATTGATAAAACTGTTTTTATGGGAAAATAACACTGTCAAGTTGTAGTTTAAAGTAACAATGTGTCATTTGTATTTTTGTCCGGGAGTGGGGGTGGGTGGTCGAATGGTATTAGTGCATGCACGTCGCCTGTCCAACCTCCTGGTTTTTTTATGGGTCCTCTGATTTCCTCCCACTGCTAAAGACCCCTACACGCAAGCGAATTATTGAAATAAAATTGAACCATATGTTAGTCCCAAAGTGACTTAGTTTGTGTTGAGTGGACATTAAAACCTCATTTCTCTCTTTCTCTGCATTTTGTCCACGATCTAATCCACACTACTCAGATTGATTATCTAACATTCAACTAGATCAAAATACCAGATAATCTTCTGACTTGGATTCAATCGGATTTGAAACAGGTCCATCAATTATGTTCGCGAACAACAAAATGGCAGCATGCTTATCATATAGCAAGCCGCATAGATCGATGAGATTTCAATTTCAACAGAATTCAACCATTTTTGAACTGATCTTCCTATTAGAGATTCATATTTCACAGTATTGCAAGGGATTCTTATTGCATTAAAATGATGCAATGAGACATTAAGGTTTTGTGGGAGATTGACTAACAAGAAATCTTAATTTAAGAGAAATAGATCAAAAGTCAGATTGATGTCCACCTCCTCAATCTCATACTAACAGCTGAAACTTACTAATTATTTGTAGATTTATCTTTTATTTTATAATACTGTTTATCGCTCTACGCCAAGTTTAAACATTCTACCTCGATTAGAAGCAGAGTTATTGTGTTCAGTGTAAAGAACATCTATACCAAGTTTGAACATTCTACCTCGATTAGAAGCAGAGTTATTGTGTTCAGCCTAAAGGAACATCTACACCAAGTTCAAACATTCTACCTCAATTAGAAGCAGAGTTATTGTGTTCCAAAACATGTGACGGACAAATGGACAGACATATTGACAAACATATTTTAATAGTCTCCCACTTTCTCTGAAAGTTGGGGGTCAAAAATTGAACGGAACTAAAGCAAATTGGATCCACAACTGAAACTTATTTAAGGGATGACAATTGCAATAAATTCATCAACTTGTATATACATACGAAACAAGATCGCGCAGATCGAAGAAAACTAAATTACAAACTCTTCTTGCAATCAATCAATCTGCCGAGTAATTTACTATCCTTTTATCAAAACAGCTACGGGGTTCCAAAACTATTTCAGGGTTAAATATGTTGGACACCTCAGGAAAATCAATTTTTGACGTACAATTCCTAGATTCGCTTAAAACTAACAAGATAAATTCATTTCTCATCCTGGCGAGTAACAAATCACAAAATGAATAATTAATGTGGTAATTTCGCAATTTTTTGCTTTCTGGTGTCTCGATCCACGGAGCTTTATCAATATTTAATTCAATATTCTCTCATATCCTGGGCAGACGGCGAAGATATATCTGTGATAATTTGTAAGATTAGAACTTTAAGTAGAATCTTTTTCATACCGTAGTGCAATGAGATTTTGAACGATGTGGATTTTAAAACCAAATCATAGCTTTAACGAAGCAAGAACCACTTTGATTTGTGGGTTAAAGATTCAAATGTTGATGGAGCCATGGTTGCTCAGTGACTATGGCACGCGCTCAATAACCAGGAGGTCCCAGGTTCGATCCTGGTATTGGCACAGGAAGTACCTCAGGATTTTCCAAGGTTGTTTCCCCTTGTAAGTGGTGAGAGATCAAGGGCCCAATCAGTGTCTAATCAGCCGAGGTCCCATATATACCTGATTTCGTGGAGGAAGTATTAAATACCGACATGAATTAGGGAAATCACGTATGAAAATGATAGTAACCCTCCATCAATATATTTATCAGATCACTGTGACATGTTGGACACTTTATGGTTAAGATTAAAGTCATCATAATGTATAAAAAAAAAAAGTTGAAAGCCCAGGCTTGACACAGATGTAAGGTTGAAGTCATTGGGGAAAGGATTACCGGTCTGACTCCATTTGACAGTCGGAGTCTATTTAAGACATACAAATTTAAAATTATCATCAAGCCATATGTCAACATTTTAGCAAATAAAGTAAGACCATAAGACAGTTGTCATAAAATATTGATAAATTTAACGTCAATTATTCAACAAGGTCTATAAATGGGGTTTAACTTCCTACTTTTTTGTACAAACCGGGCTAAAGAAAATGGTACATTGTAATATGTCTTGCAGTGTATTAAGAGGGAAATTTTGTCCAGGCAGCAGCGTTTCAGCCTACTCTTCCATCAATTTCCAACTGTCATTTCATTTCATGCACGTACACGCCAACATGTACCAAAACCTAGGTTTTTCATCTCATTTGAATGACTAGACATCCTTCCCAGGCCCTCTCTGTCCTGCAACACTGAGAAGGTGGAACCATGCCTGTAATCATCCTTCTCAGGCCCTCCACTGAGAAGGTGGAACCATGCCTGAAATCCCAGATGAACTTTCTCTGCCCACAGCGAGTTCGAAAACAGGACCCCTGGGTTACAGAGCCAGCACCCTACTCACAGCACCACCACTCCCTTGTTTTTTAGGTGATTAAATTGAAGATACTGTGTTGGCATAAATATATAAACCAGGTATTATTATTTTTCATTAATTCCCTTTCTGATCGCTCAGATATCGCAAAATGGACAAGAAAAATGATTAACACTAACCTGTAACACAATAAAAATATCCATTCCTTTTTAAACTTAACTTTAAATACAATAAAACTATCCATTCCTTTTTATACTTTATACTTATAATTCATTTGTAATGAATGTTAAAGAAGAGAAATGATGTTGGGATAAACTGCAGAATCATTGTTTGGTCAATAAAAACACACTTCATTTAAATGCATAAAGAATGTCCTTCAACAAATATTTTTGTTTCAACAAAATATGAGATTTGAGCAGAAAAAATAAATTGAACCACCTATCCATATTTTTCCTGCAAATGGTGACAAAATTAAACATTTATTTTTTTTGACTATCTTGAGCTAGACTTCAACATGCTATGACATTATGGGAGATTCGATAAAGAGTTAGCAGTTCTCACTATAATAGTTTAAAACTAGATAATGTAAAGGCAATTTGCTGAAAATTTAATTAAAATTGATCCACTATGAACCGAGAACTAAGCGATTGAAATTTCCACCTAGCCTCGATCATCATTACTAAAGTCTTATTCGAAAACCAAAAATACTTGGTTGTGCTGTTCAAAAGCGTTTAGTTCCAAATTTTAAACTAAACATCTTTCATGTGATTCATGTAGCTATTTATTTATCAAGACCAAAAAAAAGGAACAAATTGTTGTGGAAATAGACAGATTATAACCGGAATAGGTCTCTAAAGGTCAATCTATAATACGGACATAACAGAAAAAACCATCATGAATAATTAAATCGAATTTGTTCCTAATCCAGGCCAGCTCGTCTAGATATTGTAGATAATATTTTGTTGATTCGCAAAACTTGCTTAAAGGAGCAGTCCCTGTTTTCATGTCTCTGAAAACAAACGTTATTTGAGAGTTTGTAAATCACTTGTTAACTTCAATAACATAAAGGTTGGATCTTCAAAAGGTATATCAATCAAAAAATGGTTCAATTCCATTCAGTGTTTACAAAGATATGATAAACTGAAAAGTTTGCAAGGTGGTAATTCTGCTGCCTGTGCAACATTTTCCTAATAGCACACCACACATACTATATACCCATCTTCATTAGCCCAATTGGTGCAGAAAACTGAGAGAAATGGGGTTTAACATCCACTCGACACAAACTAGGTCATTTCAGGACTAACATATGGTTCTTTTTTATTTCAATACTTCGCTTGCCTGTATGGGGTCTTTAGCAGTGGGAGGAAACTGGAAAACCCACAAGGTGCAACAGGCGACCCTACTCATTGTCACTTACAACCGGGGAATCGAAACCACGCCAATTGACTCAATGACAGACCTTATGATGCAACACGCACACGCTAACCATTCGGGCATCCAGCTCCCCAAGAAAGTTAAGACTTTAAACTCCATTTCATTTCATTTGTAATGAATGTTAAAGAAGAGAAATGATGTTGGGATAAACTGCATAATCATTGTTTGGTCAATAAAAACACACTTCATTTAAATGCATAAAGAATGTCCTTCAACAAATATTTTTGTTTCAACAAAATATGAGATTTGAGCAGAAAAAATAAATTGAACCACCTATCCATATTTTTCCTGCAAACGGTGACAAAATTAAACATTTATTTTTTTGACTATCTTGACCTAGACTTCAACATGCTATGACATTCAAACAATTTGTTTCTTCACATATTGGGAGAAAAAAACTCCGCCAGGTTCATGACATTGGTTGTCGTTATTTTTAACAAAGAGCTTAAAATATCGACAGAGAATGTCGATGCAGTGTTTTGCCGAGCATGATTAAAATATGATTGCTATTAGCCGTCTGGCTAACCCTACGTGGCTTACATCACATCATTTTGTGCACAGTGATCTAAAACATACAAACTTTTGTAAAATAAACATGAGGTTCAGGGGTATAACCGCTTTCAGTTGAAAACATACCAACGTTTTTATTTATCAAGAATGCTAATCAGACCTCAAGTAGAGAGAGAGAGAGAGAGAGAGAGAGAAATGGGGTTTAACGGCCACTCGACACACACTAGGTCATTTCAGGACTAACATATGGTTCAATTTTATTTCAATAATTCGCTTCCACGTAGGGGTCTTTAGTAGTGGGAGGAAACCGAAGGACCCAGAGAAAACCCACAAGGCTGGACAGATGGCCCTACTCCTTGTCACGTACAACCAGGGAATCGAAACCACACCAGATGACTCAATGACAGACCTTATGTTACAGCGCGCAGTATTACACATTAGTTTTATGTTTTATAATTTCTCGAATATTGAAAGCTTGCAGGGAGTTTTGCAACACAACAGCTTAAGAAACAAGTTTGACTCTGTCCAGAACAAACCCATGTGGTTTCCAGTGACCTTCGTCAAGTTGATTCTGGTGACAAATGAACTGTCTAGAAGAAGAGAAAGAAGAGAGAAGAAAACAATAGCCAGGATTAGATCCCATAGTCAAAATACAAATAGGTGTGCCTCAAATAGTAGGCCAAATCACCAATCTGTTTTTAAGTTCTGCAAATATATTGTTGTGAGGTGGTTTAGAATCAGCAACCCTAACCTTAGCATTTTGACAAAATAAGTTTTGGCTGGGGGAATAAAAAAAAACCATTTAAATTTTGAAATCCTTCATAATGATCAAGGTACAGATTTCGTCTCCATTCCAGTCATTTCTGGGACCAATATAATATCTTTATTTCAATTATTTGCTTGCATACAGGAGTCTTTAACCCTCGTCCCTTGGTAAACTAATATTGAGAATATTGCACAGAATATACTGATTCTATTTAATTTAAATGAGTTAAAACAACAACAGAATGAAGTAGATAATCGGTAGCCATCACAGTTTGAACAAAATATATATTTTTTGAATTTATAAAAGTCAATACAAATGTAAATGAAATGGGGTTTATCATCCTACTTTTCTGCACCGACTGGGCTAATGAAGACCAGCAACAGAAATATAATCAAAAAGTACAACCTTACGGGCACAATATGCAAACTTTTGATGCACTTGTTGATGTACTTGTTGAAATACGGCCTAATGCCAATTTCAAAATGTGCATTGCTGGCTGTTTGATGCAATCGATGTAGAGATTATAGCTGCCAAAATTCATAAAAATATTATTTATGAAATTCTTAAATCCAAATTTGATAGTGCACATACATTTTCGACCAATCGGAACAATTTTATACCCCATCTAGTCTATTTTTTACAATTTCAATCTAAAAACAAAAAAAAATCTTTAAATTCTGCACCAGGCCTTTATCTATTTGCAATAAAACATAAGGTTTGTTAAGCCTATATGTTTAGGGTTGTGTTGCCACGAAGGCATTAGCTAGGAAAATATTTAAGATAAAGTTTAATGGTAAAACTTGTCAATACCCAACTGGTACATATTAACAGCCATGTTTTATCTCTTGGTGTCACTAGATATTATCTAAGATACCGTATATATTTATCTTTGCCACGTTTCTTACAAATTAAAACATCAATTATAAATGAAAAACAATAGCCATTCTATCTCAAGTAAGAGAGATTGGGCTTAAAAGAGAGTGAAAGCAAGTGAGAGAGAGAGAGAGAGAGAGAGAGAGGTTCACTCAACACAATATTTCAGAATGTATTTGACCTGTACAAGCCTAGAATCAAACTTCAGACACTTGTATCAACAGATGTCAGGGGTAACCAGGAATGTTTTTGATTAGTGAGCTAGCTCCATACTTATTGATCCATGAAATAAAGAGTAGGCTGTATCAGGCTGTATGGTATATCCCCTTCTTCATCAACCCAATTGGTACAGGACTGAACCCTATTTCATATTATTTTAAAGAGACAATGTCTCTAAGAGGAATCCAATCTGATTTAATGTCCTTACCAAGTTACTTATACAGGTAATGCACAATGTGTAGTGTATCATGTACATGTCATTTTTGCAAGTCATGGGTTCATCCCAGACAGGCCCTGCCTACATACTGAGTTTTCTCCATGCGCTCTGCTAAAGATCCCATTGCTAATATGATCTCAAAAAAACAATAGATACTTAAAATTCACAAGAAGTCAATTTTTGGATCACTTGTGTCTACTAGTCATGGTTCTGTATCAAAATCAAAATCAACGAAATAAATAAAATATTTTAAAACTTACCAGGCCCGTTAGGGTCATGATTTTTTTCTACTGTGTCATCGTTATCTTCTTCTCGAGGCTCAAACCTTAACTTCATATCCTTTTCACGCTGTCGACTCTTACGTTCGCGACTATCTAAATTATCATCTAATTTTCTACTTTCTATATTTCTATCAACTTCGTGGATCTTGCGATCGTGTCCTAAAGGTTCACTGTCTATTTGATTGTCAAGATTTTTAAAATTCTTTTCTATATTAAGGGACTTGGGTGGCGGATGTAGAGGTTTTTCTCGTTTATCTATGTCCACTGACAAATCATTTTGACTGGACGTCAATTTGCCACTAGAACTGAATAACAACACAGCTAATATCCATATTAACGGAACGGCGATAATGGCCTTAAATAACAATCCTCGTCTTCTACGAAAGAAACTTGCCATTTTGGAAATAAAACTATGAAAAAAAAATTAAAATATCACAGTTATGGTTTGGATGAATGATTGGATTTTTCGGATATTATTCTCCCTCGGCAGTATAAATTTTTCTCTTTTTTTTTTAAAAAAAGTTAATCCTGAAGGAATTCTCGTTTGTTGTAAGTCTGTAAGTTGCAGGGTCCTGGCAGTTATCTTATCCAGACCTGGTTTCTGCGATGTACTATCTATCCATCGTGAGAACTGTTAAACCTGGAATGACAAGACAGACATATTTAGAGATAAAATTACAAGCCTAGGATGTCCGTGCTTTGGTCTATATAATTTTCACATATTTGTAAACATATTCGATAATACATCTACTGGTAATAAGTTATATTCTTATGGTGAGACAGGCTTACTTAAGTTGAAACACAGCTCATTCGGAAACACAGTGAAAGTAAAACCATGTCATAGTCAAATTTTCGCTCCCAATTTCTGTAGAAATGACTACCCCCAACTCTATGGAAAGATGACATATTAGAATTCAATTTATTTTCAGATTGAATATATAGGACCAAGACAAATGCTACTATAAAATATAACTTTTATAATTACACAGTATAAAAGCACAATTACTTGTGTAGAAATGACTACCCCTAACCCTATGGTGATATATGACATTATATATCTATAACCAATTTGAGTTATCAATACCGTAAATACTTAAATTGAAAGGACTAGGACAAAAACTCATATAAAATATATCAGACTTAGACAAACCCTCATACATATTACGTACACAAACGATCATATAAAATATATCAGACATAGACAAACGCTCATATAAAATATATCAGACTTAGGCAAACGCTCACATAAAATATATCAGACTTAATTAGACAAACGATCATATAAAATATATCAGACTTAATTAGACAAACGATCATATAAAATATATCAGACTTAGACAAATGCTCGTATAAAATATATCAGACTTAGACAAACCCTCATATAAAATCTATCTTTGATAATTGCACTGTATAAAACCACAATTACTTCATTTCCAAAATCCACAACCAGGTGATTCACTCAGATTTAAACGAGTTATGTATTCTATACATTTGTTGGTTATAAAATCCTGTTAAACAGACCTACCTGACGAGTTCTAGCAAATAACTAACTAGAGTATATCTATGTCATATTATCTATGTCATTTGTTCAGATAAACATTATTTAAAGAAGCCATCCCAGATATATTGTAGTAAATAGAATACGTTAATCTGTATATTTTAGTGAATAGAATAGCTCAATTTTGTATATTTCAGTTAATAGAATAGCTAAATTTTGTATATTTTAGTCAATAGAACAGCTCAATTCTGTATATTTTAGTCAATAGGATATAGTTTAATTATGTAATGTATATTTGAATAAATATAATTATTTATAAACTTTCTTTGAAAAGTTTATCCTATTCTTGTGAAACATTGTCTGAAAAACATCTTCAACACCCATGTATCAAACGATGCGCAGTGAAAGCTGGGACTGTTCCTTTAATGTGTAGGTCAATCACTAAGAACTATATATTAAGTGGTCAAATCTGGGACTGTCACTCATTGAGCAACTTCGGCTTCCGTTGCTTTAAAGTGTAGGCCGATCATTAAGTAGATTGTTGAATCAAATATAGATATCAACTAGTATAGGACTACAGTTGCCATATGAATTTTTAAAAATAGATCAGTAATTATATACCCAGTGTCTTGTATCGCTAATCAATTTCCGGGGTTAATTTTAATAATGAAATAAAGTCTTACAACACAAGTTTTATTTAGATAGTAATCTATAGCCAGTTAAATTTTAAAGTGTAGATTACATGCCATCTGGAGCTCTGATGTTTGGGAATAGGAATGAAATATCATTTAATTTAGAATATAGTTAATGACAATATTTGGTATGTAATTTAGAATATAATTGATGACAATATTTGATCTATATCTAATTTAGTATATAATTGATGAATCTAATTTAGACGACATAGAGGATATTTGTCGTTTTAGAGATGAAATAAAATATGTTATTCACGACAAAACGACAAATGTTCTATTTATTTTATGATTTTACAATCATTTTAGGTAAAAACAACATGGACTACTTTAGCCAGTGGAATAACACTTTATTTCACTGATAAAAAGCGGTATTCCACTACTGATCATAAAATAAATATATATATATATATATATATTACAGTTGATGACAATATTTAATCATGAAATTCATGAACATTTATTCTACAAATTGAAAAGTTTATACTACTCACCCTATATCTTTTATATACACAAACTAACTATATAACTAAAATCAGCTATCTTTTAACACTTTCAATCAAAAAACAATCACAAGTTTTATATATATCAATTTTTTTGACATTTGCAATTAAAAAAAGAAATTCCCACCTCAGGAATTCAAGATTATATATTTCCCTATATTATACGTATATTTTTATCCACTGGTAATAAAAAGCCATTTTTAAACAGCTAATAAAATTTCAAGTGCTAGTTGTCTGTTATATACACCAATGCTTATTATTATATGTGATCAATCTTGAGTGGCATTTACCGATTGAGCACATTAAAAAACACAACACAATTTATATGGAAAACAATCACTGGTTTATACACATATAGCACAACGATAAGAGAATACTTGTTGAAACGTCGGGCTATATGTGTATAAACCAGTGATTGTTTTCCATATAAATTGTGTTGTGTTTTTATATATGTGACTATTTGCAATGCATACTAAAAACATATTCCTTTCTTAAAAATAAATTATCAATTTAATTTGAAGTCCTATATATTCTTCAATATTAACCATTTCCAATAAATATTGAAAACATAAAGATCTTTTAGAAATAAGTCATGGTTATAAACTTATAATAAGCTAGTCAAGACTCAAGACTATATTTATATTATCTGCTTTTTCTGTTATCATGCCTATTGTATATTCTTCAATACTGTTAGTCATTTATCTAGAAAAGTAACTAACCTAATAAAATTGTTGTCCTACCTGCATCAGTTACAACCAAACACTAGCATATATAAATATGATGTATATCACTGTGGTATATGTGAATTTATCATATCTATGTTTTATTTACCTCTAGAGATAAGAAATAAAAGGTTGAACCAACATTGTATTTACCTGGAGGGTGTTATATAGATTACATCATAGTTATTGTATTTCTAACCCCTCCAGTTAAGATACTCATCTAAAAACGCATCTAACCCCTCCAGTTAAGATACTCATCTAAAAACGCACAAGTCTGTGTTGAATTGTAAGTTATCATATAAAATCATATATCTCTTATAATAACTAACATACAGGTGGAAAAAATAGTTTTATGATAACCCTAACTATAGAAAATACAAAAAACAGACCCATTAAGACTACCTTTTTTTTCCAAAGGGTTAGTGCATGCGTGCTGTATCAAGGTCTGTCATTGAGTAAACTGATGTGGTTTCAATTCCCCGGTTGTACATGACAAGGAGTAGGGTCGCCTGTTCAACCTCATGGGTTTTCTCTGGGTCCACGGGTTTCCTCCTACTGCTAAAGACCCCTACGCACAAGCGAATTGTTGAAATAAAATTGAACAATATGTTAGTCCCGAAATGACCTAGTTTGTGTTGAGTGGAGGTTAAACCTCTCTCTCTCTCTCTCTCTTACTCAACTTACTGAACAGAAAACCCACCCCACTTCTCTATATGATTTCTACTAACACTGGTCTAAATTAGCAAAAGTGCACAATAACAATGAAAATGTCTTATATTAAATACTGTACGGATATAGATGCATTATGTAAGAATCAGATAAAGAGTTAGCCATTCTTGCTATTATAGTTAAAAAAAGATAATGGAAAATGAAGATATTGAAAATTTCAGTCAAATTATTTTATTGTGAGCAAAGTTATGAGTGTTTTACCCAAATGTAGTGTATATTGTTTATTATCATGGCAACAGCAGTACATGACAATCAAGACTAAGTCAAGACTAAATCTCATTTATCTATTTCATTGTCTAGAGAGTTGATTATGTTGAAGTTTATATAACATTTGATAGTAGAAAAAAATGACTGCAATATTAAGCCGATTTAGCTCGTACATAATACCACTTTCAAATAAAATATTTGCTTTATCTGTTGTAGATTATATAATGGAGGCTCCCAAGGTATTTTATCAGTAATTTTGTTCTAATCTTTAAAATAAATAACACTTTTATATAATTCTATAATTCTTACAATAAAACTTTTATTTGGTTCTTCTAAGACATGCCATTAAGCCTTTATCACCTCGGACAGTTCGAAAAGACGACCCATCCACCCAAGGATGAATAACTGTGGCCCCTGGAAGAACTGGAATACACATACAACCAAGATACCTATTCACATGGGGGGTTGGATGGCTGAATAGTTAGCGTGCGCGCACTGTATCATAAAGTCTGTCATTGAGTCGACTGGCGTGGTTTCGAATCCCCGGTTGTACGTGGCAAGGAGTAGGGTCGCCTGTCCAACCTCGTGGGTTTTCTCCGGGTCCTCCGGTTTCCTCCCACTGCTAAAGACCCCTACGCGCAAGCGAATTATGTAAATAAAATTAAAGCATATGTTAGTCCCAAAATGACCTAGTTTGTGTCGAGTGGACGTTAAACCCCATTTCTCTCTCTCTCTCTCTCTCTCTCTCCTATTCACATATCTCGGGAGGTCTGAGACTGTAGTTTTGATGGTTTCTGGCTGTCCAGGAATATACTGTATGAACTATATCACTTTTTTAAAATAAAATTTTCTTCAATGAACTGGTGCAGTCAATATTTACATGTACCAAGTGCTAAAGGGTTAAGGATAACCCTCTTAAATTGATTTACGTCAAAATAAATTATTGAACTGGGTTCATCAGGTGTATTAATTCAGAAAACAAGACAGCAGGCACTAAAATCAAAGTTATATATATTTACAGTCAAAAAAACTTCGTTTATTTTTAATAAACATTAATCTATTTAATTTTAGGATTGGGAAACAGACAAAGCCTATTTAATCCCCCTCCCCATATAATCTCTCTCCCTGAGAGAGGGAGGAACAAAATAAAACCTATATTAAAACATTTTTTCAAATAATGGGGGGTTGGATGGCTGAATGGTTAGCACGTGCGTGCTGTATCATAAAGCCTGTCATTGAGTCAACTGGCATGGTTTCGAATCCCCGGTTGTACATGACAAGGAGTAGGG